TAAAATTGGAAAAGTTTTGGGTTTTTTCCCAGATTTCTATTGTGCAATGAAAAGAAAAATGAAAACAAATTACTGCCATCTACCGATAATTCATTAGAATTGCATAAATTAAGGAAACAGTCTTTTAGAGACAAGACTGTCTTTTCAAATACGTTTTTAAGATAAGTTAGAACATCATCAGAGTCATCTGAAAATAATTAATTGAATAATTAAAAATAAACTGTATACCTATCATATACCCATACCGCTGAATCTGCTGACACTAGGGATTACTTCCTTTTCTAGTCAAGCAATGAGATTAGAGTTTCTGGGCACTGAAAAAGAAAGAAACCAGAGGGTTTGTACTGTTCCTTACCTCCCTATCCAAGATAATATAGGCAACATTCATACATTATCCACACTGCTTCTAGATTTCTACCAAAGGAGGGGCTTTGCTGAATGTATAGACAGTACTGGACTACCAAAACATCTCTTGTTTTGGAGTGCAGACATAAAGGAGTTCGTCTGCAACTCAAATCCAAGCTTTAAAGGATGTCTAAGCAACTGTTTCAAAAAGATTTCTACCTCTGGGACAGAAGTTATATAGACCTTTGGTGAAATCCAGTTATAACCCACCTGCTTGTCTCATTCAGAGAGGCAAGAGGCAAGGTCTTTTTTTCCTCCCCCTCTAAATAAGTAAACATGATTTCTAAACCAAGAGGAACTTTATAGTGGGTTAAATGGTGCCCTCGCGCACATCCAAAGATATATCCATGTCTTAACTCCCAGAACTTGCAAATGTGACCTTATTTTGAAAAAGGAGTTTTGCAGATATAACTGGGTTAAAGATCTTGAGATGAGATCATCCTGGCTTTAGGGTAGGTGACTGAATATGCCAATGGACAATGGCCAGACCATATGTAAAAACAGAACTCTGACCCACAACCTCCAGCAAGCAACCCAGGAGACCAACCCATTATCTACAGTAACCAGTCCAGGAAGTCTATAAATTAGACTTGTAGAAAGTCATATCATTATCGCTAATAACAATCCTAGGAGACAAACTATAACAATCGGCCCAAATGACCAGTACTGGATTAATAACTGGCATCTTCCCTAACTTTTGTCCCCATTTCCAAGTTGAGACTAACAAGAAGAAGCCACAGAATGCTCCACTTCTAGTTGGCCTGCCTGCAGCTTCCTCATGCCGAGAGCCTCTAATTAGGGCATGCCCACTCCTCTGCCTGCCTTTGGCTCTGCTAAAATGCAGGACATCGTGGCTCCCTCCCTTACAAGGCCTGAATAAATAGCCTTTGTTTGTTCTCATTTGATTGATCTTCATTGATTTCTACACAAGAATCCTTATAAGAGAAAGGTAGAGGGCTATTTGAGACTCAGACCCACATAGAAGACCATTTGATGATGGAGGCATGGAGCTCCAAGTCACTGAGGCCCCTCCCCTAGGCAAAGAACACCTGAAGTCACCAGACAACAGAAGACATCAGTGAACAGAAGAGGTAAGTGCTGTCAACACCTCAGTTTCATTATCTGGCCTCTATAACTGTGAGAGAACAAGTTTTTGTTGTTTTTAGTCACCCAGTTAGTGCCAATTTGTTATGGTACCCCTAGGAAATGAACAGAAGCTTGTAGCAAGGAAATTTGCATCTGCTACATGGCCTTTTCTGGACAGATCCATAAACCTTAGTGTAAATGGCTTAAAAATGACTGTTTTGTTTTTTAAAATCATACTTGTTCTCATGAGAAGATTTACATAACATTATAAAAATGTCTGGGAAGTTCTTCAGTAGTTTCCCATAATAGCCAGGCACCATCTCTGCCATCAAAACACTCTAGGTAGAAAGACACATAGTCAATTAAAATGGAGAGGTACACTAGCTGATGTCTTAACCTGTCTACACATAACCTCTAACCAGTTAACTCACTCTATTTCCTTTGTAAGTCATAAGTGACTAATTCCCATATCATGCTAGGAAACTGTTATCTAGTAAATCTGCCCATTTCTGGTCCTATCAATTGACTAGTTCAATCTTATGACTTACTTGTGTTTGCAAATCTGTTTTTGCCAGTT